ATCAGGGCGTGTCAATCTCTGTGGCTCAGAAGGCTGCTGACTGACGCCCCAAATCAGTCCACACAGTCTGCCCAGTTGTGTGCGTGTGTGTTCTTCGGTGTGGCTGACCGATGGACTGACAGTCAGGCTGTCACGGCGTCTTATCGAGTGTGTGGAGTGGCGGACAAATGTGCTGTGAGCCAGGCTGAAATAGCTCCTTCTCAAGCGTTCTGTGACACTCTGAAGCATGTGGGGAGATAGTGTGCGCTTCATTGGTGGTGGCTGCCAGTCGACGTCTCCTTGGTTACTCAACATTTAGGAGTGACCGCCCAGGCCACCTGAAGGGACACGTGCCGCCCTTCTATGTCAACAGATCTATGGCAGTATCAACAAACTATGGCCCTCGCAGCCTGGTATACGCTGTCACCTGGTTCCCTGCCAGTAGATGCGCTTGCATTGCCTGTGAATGTACAGGTGTCGGGCATGACTGACCACTCACCCTCGTACCACCGACCCCTGTTGGGTTCCGGTTCCTGTTGTTGTTGTTGTTGTTGCTGCTGTGGGTGAAGTTCATATTGAGGACCAGAGGGTGTTGTGACACGCCTACTTGTGGGTCCGGCTTCCCGTCTTCCTGACACTGTCTTGACAGCGGGTGCAGGTGGGGGGAGTAGGAGAGAATGCGGTAGATACTGCGGATAGTCTACAATCACCATAAACGAATTCACGCGCAAGTTACCGTGACTGCTGCATCTCGCTGTGTAGCACACGGTGGACATCGGCGGCTGCGATGGTTGAACCACATATATTCCTACGGCAGATCCATTTATCATTCTTATAAATATATCTTAGGATTTGTGCACAGAAAAGACTTCAATGAGTATGACGCGCCCACATGAGTGATTTCAAGGGCCATGATGGAAACAGATGATCGAGCATTGCCCTGTTAGTGAATTCGTTGCAACCAGAGATACGATTATCTGGATCTACACTATCAACGTGGGAAGGCCCTGCTTCATGCTGCGTGCAAGTTTGAGAGTCAATTATCGGGGACGCACCTCGAGTTGGTGGTCCCTAGATCGCGAGGCGCCTACGCGTCTGCTGAGGTAAACTAGATCACGCTCGACAAATGACGCAGCATCCATCGATCGCAGTCCGTGCACGTAGACTTCGCCAGATGGCCGAACGCTGAATGCGATTAGAGGTGCCCTGGATGACCTTGGCAGAATCAGCGGCGTGCGCAATCGATGCGTTCATACGTCATTGAACAATGGAGTATCCATAAAATCGGCTACTCGGCAGATACGCTGGATCAACACGCGGACTAGATTGGGGTCTGACTGGCGTCAATAGGAAAAAGGGCACTCAGCATTCGTCAAACGAATTACGAAAAGCTGTTGGGCTGGTTATCAACACGCAGAAGACGGTGGTGATGCATCAACCGCAACCCAACTCAGCCATAGCCCCCAACGCGCCGCCTCAAATCAGCGTGAACGGAACCCAAGTGCTAGTGGTGGAGAACTTCCCGTACCTGGGTAGTACTCTCTCCCGCAACACCAAGATCGATGTCGAAGTCGCCAACAGGATCTCGAAAGCCAGTCAAGCCTTCGGTCGTCTCCAAAGCACAGTCTGGAATCGTCACGGTCTCCAATTGAGAACGGAGCTGAAGATGTACAAGGCCGTCATCCTGCCGACGCTGCTGTACGGAGCGGAGACTTGGACGGTGTACACGAGGCAGGCACGCCGACTGAACCACTTCCACCTCAGTTGTCTTCGTCGCATCTTGAGGCTAAACTGGCAGGATCGAATCCCCGACACTGGTTTAGTGGAACGGACGGGAATCCTCAGCATCTACACCATACTGAGACAAATGCAGCTGCGTTGGAGCGACCACCTGGTGCGCATGGACGACGAGGGACTACCCAAACGAATCTTCTACGGAGACGTCTCGACGGGTTGTTGCCGCCAAGGAGGCCAAATTCGTCGATACAAGGATACCCTGAATTAATCCCTGAAGCGTCCGCAAATCAACCCGACTAACTGGGAAGGGCTCACCCTCTACCGACCAACCTGGAGGATTTAGTGGACAGCCATAATGGCGACGTCGCGCCTCTCGCTAGCGCCTGCACCTACGCCGTAGCGACAGCCAGCTACGGCACGCACGTCTGCACAGCTTCGATTTGTCTCTTTGCAATTCACTGTCTGCACCACGCATTCGATCGATTCTCTGCCTGCACCATGCGAGGCTTGCACTACCTTTGCTTGGGCTCGGAACAATCAACGCAATTTCCTCTCGCTAATTGGGTAAGACGGGCAGAAACAGGCCAGAACACTAGCGTAGACAATCTGAAACGACACTTTTGCAGCGGCGACCTTCGGCGACATACGGCTGGTCGCTCTCGCGGGCGCCGCCTCCGCGGCGCTGGACGCATCCTCGCCCGGTTGCCAACTTTCCCCTTCACTATTCTGTACAGAATAAAGTGTCCTGACGAAATGGCGTCCTGCTTTTTGCAACTTGGGACATGGTCTGAAGTTGTGGCGTACTGAGCGTACACCATCGCCGCTTAGCCGCTACAAGGACAACACTGAAAACAGGCGCTGCGATCTGCGAAGCCAAGCGCATCGCCACTATCAAAGCGAAACGCGAAGCACGCAAATCACAGCTGTGTCTACTCCGCAACGACGAAGAAGAACCGATTTCTACGTGTCCTCGATTCCAACGGACATTCCGAGCACGAATTGGATTTATCGGACCCCATCGGATCATTTGCATCTCTCAGACAGCACGGGCCATCGTCCCTTCGACCGCATCTTCCCTGTCGTCTTCGCCGCCATTTAACTCTGACTCATCTTCCGAAACACCACTTCCACTCCCTTCTCGCCCTCCTCATCTTTTTCCTCATCCTTCTCCTCCTCCTCCTCCTCCCCCTCCTCCTCCTCCTCATCCTCCTCCATTTTGGTGGGTAACTTGACCCAAATGTGATAAAACTCGCGTCGTCCGGCGAGTCCTCTTATCTCAAGTGGTTAGAGCGTTGGCTGTACTGAAGCCTTCTCCTTACTGCGTGGGTTCGAATCCCACCGAGGCGCCGAGTTTTTACAGCTGGGTCAATATGAATTGTTCAGATTTAACCAGAAATCCCACCAAATGGGTTAGTCATTGTTTTTCCATTTTTCCTGTCGTCGGCATCAACAAAAAAGCCTGCAGTGACGTGGCACAGGCGGCACTGTTCATGACTGTAACACAGCGGCAGATTTCACGTTGACCCAAATGTGAACAACTCGGTGCGGCTATAGGATTCGAACCGACGACACAACAAAGCGTGGCTTTAGTACAGCCAACGAATTTAATCACATCTGCCTTAACACCCATGAATTACAGGAGCCTGAAAGCCGCAATCTGGTGAATTCTAGATGTATTAATTGGGAAATCCTGCTTAGGTAGTCAACCTACTGTATCAGATTTGGTGGATACCAGACCTTGCAGTAGGTTGGGCGGGTAAACTTGACGCAAATGTGATTAAAATCACGCAATCCGGTGGAGCCGCGTAGTTTATGCGGCTAGATTGATGCCTGTACTAAAGCGCCCGCTTTCTGTAGCAGGTTCGAATCTCACTGAGACACCGAGGTTTTACAGTTCGATCGAGGTGGGTACGTGCGTCTTTGGGAAATATATTCCGTGTGCTGAAGGAGCTCTCGATTCGGACGGATAGGCAATTTGAGACCATACAGTGGCTATACCTGCCCATGTGGCACAACGCCGATACGTCAGATAAATTTCCCGCCAGCTGGCTGCAAACCTGTAGCCCTGTATTACGTCCAACGAACGTAGTCGGTCGACGGAAGATGTCGGCGGCAGGTAAGCTGTCTGTCTCCGTAACAGCAACTGATCCCTTTCTTCCTCTGAAAAAGATTTAGAAGTTGGGCTGTCAAGGGATTTATGCTTAACAAAGATTTCACCGAACACGACGAGATCACATGAATGATGTCAAGGGTACTTAAGGAAACGCATGTTCAAACATAACCCTGGTTAGTGATTTGCTTGCAAACAGAGATACGATACATTGAATTGGCACTATCTGCGTGGGAAGACCCGGCCTCTTGTTGCGTATCAGGTGGACAGTCAAATGACGCAGCATGCATCGATCGCAGTCCGTGCACGTAGATTTCGCCAGATGGCCGAGCGCTGAATGCGAGTAGAAGTGCCCCTAGATGACCTTGGCGGAAGGTCGTCAGTGGTGTGCGCAATCGTTGGGTGTGTACGTCACTGAACAATGGCAGCGTCCCTAAAACCGGCCGAGCATTAGATGCGCTGGATCGACACACGGACTACATCGGGGCTTGTCTGGCGTTAATTGGAAACGTGCACTCAGGATATGTCAACATTGGATCCGACTTTCAGACATACGTAGACTTTGTCCTTGCTAGATATCCACATTTCCATCAAAAATATCAGTTACCGATTTCAGAAATGCCAGAGTCTGTTACAAAAACAAAAGGCTGTGTTTTTACTTAAAACACGGTTAGATCGCCATCAGTCACAATTTGGAAATATGTACTCGACAGATCATGAGACGAAGTGCGAATATTTGCATGAGTGCAGACGTTATTATGAAGATTATGCGTGTGATATTAGGGGAATTGCAGCCTATGCATATTTCACCCTCTGTGCGCCCCCCAAATTCAATCTGCTGCTCTCCTTGTTCGAAAATAAATTTGGAACTTCAAGTTATCATTACGTTCGCCTAAGTGAGCGAGTGATTTTCATCACAGTAAAATAACACTGTTAAGGTAGCTCCGAAGTTTCTCCTAAGAGAAACCACAGTGTTCTGCATGCTTCCTTGATTCCCTCCGACAAAGGAGGCATAATTAATCAGTCATTGTAAATATATGTATTTCCCATTCAGAAGCCTTTTTAAATTCAACGTGAAACAAATACGGTGGAATTGTGATTAACATCGAAGCACGCCAGTCCCAAGTAAAATTAGTGCCGACCCGTCAATCTGCATAAGTGTTCCATCGAACATAGCGGCAAGATGTCCAGTTAAATTGGAGGACGACAGTGAAGACAGGCGCTGCGATATAGGGAGCCAGACGCTAAGTACGCAAGTCTGAGCTGCGCCCGACCCGTAATGCCAACACGCTTCCGCCTCCAACGTGTTCACGGTGTCGACGGACATTCAGGGCACGAATGGAACTTGTTGGACACCTTAGGATTATCTGTATCAGTCGGATCGCAACCACCGTCGTCCCTACGTCCAAATCTAACTCGTCCTCTACGACATCAACTAAATCGGATTGCCTTCCTGAACAAACAATTCCATCCACATCCTCCCCTCAAATCCGCCGCCGCCGCCGCCTCCTCCTCATCCTCCTGCTCCTGCTCCTCCTCCTCATCCTCCTGCTCCTGCTCCTCCTGCTCCTGCTCCTGCTCCTCCTGCTCCTGCTCCTCCTGCTCCTGCTCCT